ATTATTGTGGATTGTCCATTGTTGGTATTTATGGTATTATTACTTGGAGTGGTATTATTACTACTTGGGGTAGTAGTATTTTAATTGGGTTAGTATCGTTAGTTGGGTTGACTGGATCGACTGGATTGGTATTGTTTTGAGGATTAGTAGAGTTGTTAACAGGATTGGTGGAATCAATAACACATTTACCAAGATTGTCTACAACAAATCCAGTTGAGCATTGCAAACATGTGATTCTGTTTTCTGAACATTTTTCACAAGTAGAATCACAAGATTCCAAACATCTACGATATTCCGTAGGTACAGTATTGTTCAAACCACATCTTTGCAAACCAGGTTTGTTGCAATCAGTATGAGAAAGACATTCAATTTTACAAAAACTATTGGAACAAAGTGAATAACCATAAGAGTAACAATCAGAATCGATTGAACAATCTGCCTTTGCACATAAATAAGTACTCAAATCACATCTTGGAGTTCCAGTCATTGGATCTGCACAATCACTGTTATTGAAACATGATCTTGGAATGCATCTGTGATAGGTAGAATTATTGGATGGATCAGCTCCACAGATGGAGTATTTACCAAAGTCGGAACAATCACTATTGACATGACATTCATCTCTGCATTCAAAATCAGCACATTGGGAATAGCCACGAGAAACACAATCAGCATCTGCTGCACAAGCATAATTACTACAGACACCATCATTACAATATTGCATTCCCTTTGCAATGCATGATGTATCATTTATACATCCTGCAATACATTTACCACCAATGTCGAATTCGTTTCTTCCAGTTTCGCACATTGGTCTGCCAACAACTGTAGCACAATCACCATCTGATAAACATTCATATGTACAAACACCTGAAACGTCACAAATAGGGAAATATTGGTCTGTACAATTCTTATTTGATGAACATGCTGGATCACATGTTTTACCAGCAAATCCTGGAGGACAAGAACAAACCTCAACACCCTTACTAAAGGTACAATTTCCCCCATTTTCACAAACTACATTGCGATTCACATGGAAGAGAATATTCACACTTTGAACCATATCTACCATATGAACATGTGCAATGGTTTTCACTTGTACAATTACCTTGTCCAGAACAAACTGTGGCAGTTTTACTTGCAGCAATTCCATAACACATTGGTTCACAAGTATTTGGACCAATACACTTACGATTGCCTCCACAAACTTGATTGCTACTAGAAAGTGTACCATTGCAAGAAAAAGTGGCATTGTGCTCCGCCATAACCATTCGCTCAGTTACAAGTATTATATCCAACACAAGTACCATGAGATTTACAACCAGTTGTTTCATTTTTTGGGTAACCAANACAGGTATAATCAGAACAAGTTGTACCAGAATAGCCATATTCACAATCACAAAATGGTTTTCCCAAGTAAGAAGGATTGACCAAGTAAGCAGTACAAGAACCAGAACCACTACAAACGGTTGGATTATTAGAAGCAACAGAATTACAAGAAATTGAACAATAAGTTCCAGTTGGTAATACCAGATTTCCTGCAGTATTAGTATACTTGTAGGACCAACAGGATGAGGTCTTGGCATTCAATTGTGTAACACCACCAAGGTGATGTGGATCAGCAATAAATAATCTTTGATAATCATCAGACATTGCAACTTGGCTGATTTCTCTATACCATAAACTGGTTGTACCCTCTGGTGGAAGAGCATCACCAGCAATTACAAAATTAGTTGAAACTGGATAAAAAGAACCATCCTGTGCACCTTCAAATCTATAAACAGCTGTATGAGAGCCAATTAATATGGTACCTTGTTTTGTAATGTGTATTGTTGGATAGCCAGCAAGATAGAAGGCGCCAATTACTTGTACGTCCATTGTATCATATCTTATCTTATAGATGGAACCAACACTTGAGATAACATAGATGTATCCATTGTAGGCATCAATGTCTCCATAAACACCACCAGTAAATTGTGTAGTGATTGTCTTACAGGAATTAGGATTAAGTCTACAAATTTGAGTAACACCATTAGAATAAGTTGAATAAAAAAGTGCTCCAGTAATTGCGTCAAAGGTAAAACCCTTAAATGTGGCAGCTGGAAAACCTGACTTTACAGTTGTTATTAAATTTGTACTGAAAATGTACTGCATTATAGATACACTTGGACCGTCACTACATAGGAAAAATAACTTGTTATTGTCTTTGGACATTTTGAGTTTTGAAGGGTAGCATGTTAAAGTAATATGGGGATAAATAATTCCAGTATTAATGTTGACTTTTCTTATTCTCATATTATCATATTCTGAAATGTATAAAGTTGAGTCAACAACTGCTACACCTTTAGTAGTGGTTCCGTATGCTTCTTCACCAGGTCCATAATCTCCAATTTGGATAGTGTTTCCAATACCTGCAAGTACTGTTTCTCCTTTAGCATCAACTTTGTTCAAGTAATAGCCACTACTACTAGAATATACAATAGCTGTTGCTGATATCATTACCACATCCCTAGCTGCAAATGGTGAATCAAAAGTGAAGAGAGTAGCTTCATTTGAAAAATCGATAACTTTGGTGGTTGTTACCAAGGCCTGTTTTCCAGCTTTGTTATCAATCAACTTGATAATGGTATCAGCTTCCGTTCTCCTAATAAATCTATTATAATGTGGCCTCTTATGATAGACCAACTTTTCTGCTGTAGCTACGAGTGAATTGACTTCACCCTCACTATCCTTGAAGACAACAAAAGACACACCAGTTTCAGTATAACCCCTGTCAAGGTTAAAAATACGATCACCCAAAGAAAAATAATTGATACAACTGTCAGTCACATAACAATTATTAAGAAAATACACTACTCCATCTAATACTCTCACTTCCTTAATAAAAGTAAATCTGGCATCCTCTGGGTTCCTGTCATAAGTATTATAGCCTCCACTCGGAGCAGCCTCTGTTTCACTACCAGCAATTAAAGACATTTTTCTAGTGGTAAGATCAAACATACGAATAAATGTAGTTTTAGCAATATATAGAGCATTG